AAGGGAGAAAAGGAGGGAAGTCTTAGGGAAGTTTATTTCTGTTAAATTGGAATAGAGAATTGATACTCTGTGAACTATTCATTCTGTACTTCCATGCCTGGTATTGTGGACACATGATGGTAGATATAGAATATAATAGATCTGAACTTCTCCCTTAGGTTTATGTGGGAGGATTCTGATAGCAGCACACTAACACGTAAGACCAAACTGCTTGCTCTTAGTGAAAAGCATGAACTGCTTATTTATGAATTTGACTTGAAAAATGGGAGATGTGATGCCGCTATATCGTACACCTGTAGTGGGAAGACTCTGCAAAAGCTTATTGAAGATCAGGATATCAGTAAGTACCTACAGATGGTCTTTCAGTATGTTTTAATTTTGTGACATACTTACGTACTTTGATATGTTTCATGAAAAGTTCTCATAGAGTCGAAATCAAGGAGGGAGTCTGTATTGTCCAGACAGTAGCCACTAACCACATAGGCCTGTTGAGTACTGCAGTTGTGGTCAGTATGAATAAAGATGTGCTTTATATGCCATATACCTACTGGGTTTTAAAAACTTAGTGTCAGAACCTGGGTATGTGGCTCATCCTGCATTCCCAGCACTTGGGAGGATGAGGCAAGTTCAAAGACAGCCTGAGGGAGGATTATTGCAAGTTCAAAGATAGCCTGGACTACAAAATGAGTTCAAAAGCAGCCCAAACTGTGTAGTGAGACTCTGTCTCAAAAAGACAAAAGAAATAAACATCTTAGTACTGGAAACATGAGTTATTTCAATAATTTTTTATTTAGATACTAAAATGATATTTTGGTTATGGGCTAAATAATGCATACTTCTTTTAGACAGTGCTGATCTGTACTGCTACAGAGCTGTTCACTATGTCCTTCATTGATGACTTCAGGGAGCACAAAACAAAGCACCCAGGCCTCTGTTTTGAAGATGGTAACATATGTCTACCCTTGATCCTAAGGTTCCTTCATTTTCCTTTAGAAAAAAAGAAAAACGAAAAGAAAAAGTCTCTGTTGTTGTGGGGAGTACCCTGTGTAATCTGGCTGTTTTGTGTTTATGAGACAAGGTCTCATTGTGTAGTTCAGGCTGGCCTTAAACTCACTCTGTAGCAAGCTTTCTACCTCAGTCTTCCAAGTGGTGGAATTCCAAACATATGCCCCAGACCCAGGCCTAAGTTGACTTTCTTTGAGATAGTATCTATCTCGCTGTGTCGTACAGGCTGGTCTTGAACTCACTATGTAGCCTAGGCTGGCCTGGAACTGGTAGCAATCTTCCTGCTTTAGTGTCCCAAGTATATACCTCACATGCCCAGCTAAATTGACTTTTTTTAGTATTCTCATATTGAATTTAAGAAGAAGAAACCAGGGACATTGTAAGCTATTTTATTCTTCCTTTTACCAATTACTCAGTGACCACTTGTTTAGGTGGGTATGAACAATACTGCAGTGAGTTAGTTGGGCTAAGTGCAGTTTCTTTTGTTTTCCAGTGTTATGCTTATCAAATTTTCCAACAAAAAAATGTGAGCAATGAGTTTGAAATATCCTTTTGTTTTACAGGTATTTCCTTACTGTCTTTGAGAATTCTGTCATTTTATAATAACACATCATTATTATTCATCAACAAATGTGTCATCCTACATGTTGTATTTCCTGAGAATGATACTGAAAGTAGAGTACTCAACTGTTTCACATTACCCTTGCCTGCACAGACAGCAGACACCATCGTTGACTCGCAGCTTTGCAGAAGAATTCTTTTTGTTTTGAGTAGTTTAAATTGGATCCGTATCCTTGGCAGTAAAGATACTCACTGATGTGTAATGGAGAAAAATATCAAAGTTTTAAGGTCTGGGGAATAAGGAGAGGGGTTAGTTTTCTAATACAACCTCTCAGGGGAAAAGATTCTCATACACTTCATATAACCATATGAGTTGTATTCTATACACATTTCTTCTAATATTTAGATATATATGTATACATATATAGTCATATACTTTCTTTAATATTGCATATGTTCTGCATTACCTATTTATTCAAAATGTACTACTTGAAACTGGATATGGTGGCACATTCAGCAGTTGGGTGGCTGAGGCAGGAGGATTGATACAAGCTCTAGAACAGCCTGGGCTACATAGTGAGTTCCAGGCCAGCATGATCTTCATAGCAAGACTTTTTCAAACAAAACAAAAATATACATACTTCTTGAAGCACTCACTATGGGAACATTCCAGGGTGGATTTAGTTAACAGTTTATTATGTAATACATATCTTTCTATATGCAATGTACCCCTTATGTCCAACAATAATTCCTTCACCTTTGTGTGTGTGATAGGTCTGGCTATATAGTTCAGGATGTCCTTACACTCACTTTGTAGCCCAGGCAATCTTCATGCTTCTGCCTTCCAAGGGCTAGAATTACAGGTGTGTACCACCACTATGCTCATCTCTGCATCATCTTGATGAATGAATTTGCTTCACTGTTGTTAACTTGGTTTTGAAAAATACTAGAGGATCTTTGTCTCTAGATCTGTAGGCCATCAGCAAAATTATTTTGAAGATTGGAAAAATGCTCCATATTTATGATTTTTGGACTTTATTTCTGAATTAAAACAATTGGTTTTCTACTTTACACATCATTTTTATAAAACTGTAAAAGGCCTAGATCAAATTTTGCCAGATTATCACTGAGTATATATGATTGTTGAGCATTTGAAATAGGACATCATGACTTGGGACCTGAATTCTTAATTTTATTAGTAGTTTACTTAATTGCTTTAGATTTGAAAACTAGAACTTGATTTATTTATTGGACAAGTTTTAAGTATGTTTTCATTGCTACAATCTGGTAGGTATAATAAAATTTTCAAGTTATAATGATGAAATCTATA